GGTTCCAATTTCTGTTAGCCATATTCTGTTGGACTGCCCGCTCTATCAACGAGCACACAGAATTTACCTCCAACATCGTCACTGCTCTACTGCCCTTACTTTACCTTCCCTTCTTGCTGATGGACCCTCCTTTAACCCAGACTCTCCCTTTGACTTTTTGACAGCAGCTGATTTACTTCACAAACTCTGATGATGATGCCTCTAGCACTCATCTCAGCCCTTTCTACCTCAGTCTCTTGCTGCCCTCTACCCTCGCACTATCCACTGCCCTGCTGCACTCCATAACCTAATACAGTGGACCCCCGGTTAACGATATTTTTTCACTCCAGAAGTATGTTCAGGTGCCAGTACTGACCGAATTTGTTCCCATAAGAAATATTGTGAAGTAGATTAGTCCATTTCAGACCCCCAAACATACACGTACAAACGCACTTACATAAATACACTTACATAATTGGTCGCATTCGGAGGTAATCGTTATGCGGGGGTCCACTGTAATAATCCCTCTCCCTCTTGCTAAACAATACCCCTGCACCCTTCCCTGCCCTGCTGCACTATATGTCCCTTGTAAGTTTAGTGTCTCTTTTAGATTATAATAATAATAATATATAAGCTGGCACAAAGTATCTTTGCCTAAAAAAACCTCTCTAATATTAGAATAAAAATATTACCTCCTTGATCTATAGTTTTTTGTGGGGAAAGAATTTATCACTTGGCAGTTATGAAAACATTGTAAATTTGGTAAATTTTATGTTGTATATCTGTACGACTTCTAGGTAGTAGGTCGGTAGACAGCAACCTCCCAGGGAGGTACTACCATCCTACCAAGCAAGTGTAAAGCAAAAGCCTGTAATTGTTTTACATGATGGTAGGATTGCTGGTGTCCTTTTTTTCTGTCTCATGAAAATGCAGTTTTTCAGGTACATCTTGCTACTCCTACTTACACTTAGGTCACACTACACATACATGTACAAGCATATATATATATATATATACACACCCCTCTAGGTTTTCTTCTGTTTTCTTTCTAGTTCTTGTTCTTGTTTATTTCCTCTTATCTCCATGGGGAAGTGGAACAGAATTCTTCCTCCATAAGCTGTGTTTGTTGTAAGAGACGACTAAAATGCCGGGAGCAAGGGGCTAGTAATCCCTTCTCCTGTATAGATTACTAAATTTAAAAAGAGAAACTTAGGTTTTTCTTTTTGGGCCACCCGGCCTTGGTGGGATACGGCCGGTTTGTTGAAAGAAAGAAGATGTGTATGACTGGAATATCATGTAATTTTTTTTTTTTTACATTCTTTAGTACACAGTGAAAAACACAGTAATAAATGTATGTAATATAGTAAAGACTTGACATATAATATAGCATTATAATTATCTGTACAGTAAATATTTGGGTGCTATGTGAGATTTCATCAACTTGTCACTAGATCTAATAACAGCATGATTTTCATGGTAAGATAAAATGAGATTTGTTCAGATTTTTAACCCGGGGGAAGGGGCGAGTCACCCAGGATAACCCTAGAAAGTCAGTGCATCATCGAGGACTGTCTATCTTATTTCCATTGGGGTCCTTTAGTCTTGTTCCCTAGGATGCAACCCACACCAGTCGACTAACACCCAGGTACCTACTTACTGCTGGGTGAGCAGGGACAGCAGGTGTCAGGAAATGTGCCCAACATTTCCACCCATTTCTGCAGATTGAACCACAGATATGTGAGATGAGTGGTTTAACATTTGTCATTGTTGTAGGATTTATTATGAATGCCATTTTCTATTATCCAGTATTTAAAGGAAAAATGCAAAATTAAAAACTACCCAGAGAAAAGGAGGGTGGTAAGGTCTTTGATAAGGCCTCATGATAAGGTACCCAACAAGTTATTGTTTAAGGGTTATGGATCACTTTGAGTTACATTAGTAGTATAAGAAAATCTACTCACTGACTTGAAGATGACGTCTTGTACCTGAATGTACTTGGTTGCCTTTCATGCAGTCAAGGTTGTCCAGGGTGTGTCTTATATAATAGATATAATTTTAAGCATTCAAGAATCTCATCAGATATTCTGCTGCAGTAATGAATATAAAGAACAGGACAAAGGTTATTCTTTGCTGTTCTTTCTGTATATGTAATCCTTGTACAATTGTGGTGTGCACCATATTGTACATTATGCATGTAGTAATACAGTAAAATACTTAATTTATTTGAAGGTGAAAAGCTATATGCACTGTATTGTACTGTAGTGCTTTAGTAGATCATCTTTTTGTGGCCTATTATCAAATATAATCGATTTCTTCAAAGGAAATTCTGGCTTAGAATCTGTGTAATTCCCATGAAGGAGTTGCTGATTATAATTCTGGCAGGAAGCCCTGAAGTTCCACATATGTAAGAGTTTGGGTTAATTGGTTTCTGGATCAGGAAAACTTTAATATAAAGTGCGTTGAATAAATAGAAGGATGGACAAGAGGCTTGAACCATGGTCCCAAAATTGACAGGTCCATCGCTCTACCACTTCAATTTGGGACTGTGATTTGATCCTATCATCCATCCTTCTGTTTATTCATTGACAGTCGTGTATTACAACTCGATCTGAGTTCATACAGTATTTTGTAAAAGATTTGATGCATTTCATTTGCTGTACAACTGAGCATTGTATCTCCAGCCCTCCAGTAACCTTCCCTCTTTAAAAAAATAAAACTTACTTGAGAAGACCTTCGATTACGCTGTACTTTTTAATTTGTAGGGGGTCTGTTAGTCTCTCAGCTTCTATTTTACCTAGGAAATGACTTCACATGACTGCTTAAAAAATTAGTCAATGATCTCCATGCATTATGAGTATTCCAGTGCCCAGCATTTTGACTTATCTCTAAAAGAACAAAAATCTTGAGCATAAATTAAATTAGACAATCATCTCCAAATTTTTACAGTATATTTCAAAGCACATGCAACAAATACACAAACTAGCACCTAAGTGGTCATTGCTGGTGGTTTTCACATATACATATTAAGTTCAAACCCACATTTTTCAATAAATAACAAAAAAGGCACAATACCGTGACTGGAACGATACACAAATAACTCGCACATAAAAGAGAGAAGCTTACGACGACGTTTCGGTCTGACTTGGACCATTGACACTGAACTTTGTCAATGGTCCAAGTCAGACCGAAACATCGTCGTAAGCTTCTCTCTTTTATGTGCGGGTTACTTGTGTACCACATTTCTCTTCTGGAGACCAAAATAAATCATTACACAAAGTGGGTCTGTGACCCATGGCTACACATTAGGATTTTTAAATTATTTACTGGTGAAGTGACTGCTTTATTGTGCATCCCATATCCATCCTGTGGACAGTAGCACAAGCGTATATGAATACACAAAAGGCCTAGAAACTAGGCCCCCCAAAAGTTTACAGAAACATATTTAGATTTACTGTTGTCTCATGTAAGAATTACAGATGCTCTTCACTGTATGATGGTTTGACTTACGATATTTCGACTTTGTGATGGTGCTGTAGCAGTGAACATTCAGTAGTCATCAGACTTTGATAGGATAAACTTTTTTTTTTTTTTTTTTTTTTTCAACAAGTCGGCCGTCTCCCACCGGGGCAGGGTGACCCAAAAAAGAAAGAAAATCCCCAAAAAGAAAATACTTTCATCATCATTCAACACTTTCACCACACTCGCACATTATCACTGTTTTTGCAGAGGTGCTCAGAATGCAACAGTCTAGAAGCATACACATATAAAGATACACAACATATCCCTCCAAACTGCCAAACTTGTATTCATTTATTTCTTTTCAATACATACTGGTATTTAGTTATGCTAATTATTTGTTTATTTACTTATTTATTGATGGTTATATATTTATTTACCATATCATGTATATTCATATTCAACTTCAGACATTTTTGCCTTACAGTAGGTTCATGGGAAAGTAACCACATTGTACATGAAGGGGCACCTACAATGTTTGTCAGGGCATGTATCAGTTTACCTTTGTGAACTTAGTATTACTCTCAGTCCTGTGTGTTACTATTTCATCTGTAAACAGATGATTTAATATTAATCTTGAAAGTGGATTGAATGATAACAGGTTTACAAGGAGGTGTCACGCTTGGCCTAGTTGCGGCACTAAAGTGCCACAAAAATAAAAAAATTAACTCGGGACTGATGAGCTGTTTTTATTAATCTCTTCTCATCTCTAGTTGTTGTGCACAGAGTATTTCTAAATTGGACTAAATTTACTGTGCTGGATTGGCATACATTAGTTAAGGCTTGAGATCATCCTAAGCTTGATATCTTGATGCCTCAGGGGTATTTTCCTCCTTAGCCATGGCACCCCATGTGCTACTGGAACTTATCATGGAGTGTAAGATGTTAACCAATAAGCTTTTGTTTGTTCACCAATATGCAAATTCAGTACTGTTATTACCTCTTGTGATACCAGTGTAGCACATTCATGAGTATATTGTCTTAACCAGATGCTGTATTTACGTTAAGGTTTTAAGGAATTGCACCAGACTGTCTTTTCTCAAGGAATGGGTAGAATACCACAAACTGTGGAAGTGTTTTGTGCAGGACTCGAAAAACAGAGATCACCACCAGATTATGTCAACGGTTCCTACTCAGGTTGTTATACTAGCAGTAGCTCCCAGAAGAGATCTGCAAATAATATGAAAAGATGAACTTTCCTAATAGAAAAATAAAGGTGGAAGAAAGTGTACAGAGCTAAAAGTGTAAGAAAAATACTGGTGAAATAGAAGAATAGCACGTACGTAATTGCTGTTCTTCCTGGGTTTATCTAACCTCAGTCAGAAACTAGTTTTCATTTTACTAATGAATGACAAAAGAACTTTGGGAAGTTCTGCCTCTGTCAGTCTATTTTGAAAGTGATTTGCTAAACTCCTTCTCATTGCTTTTAGGAGTTTTTCGAAGAAATTATTATTGATAGAGCACATTACTGTTTTTATTACAAAAGATTAATTCTTCTTCAACAGTCTGGGGATGTAAATTTGGAAAACGTGACCCACGAAGATGCCGTTGCCTGCCTCAAATCAACCAGTGACCGTGTTGTGCTGGTCTTGGGTAAGGTGGTTGCCCCTCAAACTAATGCCACTACAGACTTGGCCCTTCCTCCTTTACAACCTTCCCAGACTCGCCATCAGGACCTCATGCCCCCACCCCGTGAGTGATTAAACGATTTGTTTTCTTTTCTATATAATTTTCCTCTTTAATTGTTTTACCTTTTGCAGGTCATATAGATTTTTTGTTTCATCTTGTTAATTCCATAGATAACCTCCATTTAGGAGAAGAAATTTTAGATGCCATTTCTGTTCACTCTGGACGACTTTTCGTTGCTGATAATGGTCAGTGAGAGACTGAAATACTGTCTTAAATTACCTTTCCAGAGTGTTTGTTATTAGTGAATTGTTCCAGCCATGGCATTATGACTTTCACTCTTCTAAACTTCTCTATACATTTGCTTGTGTTGATGGTGCTTTCGTATGCTCAGTGTGGAAAATCATACTTTAGTGCAGTAACTCTCATAATTAATTTACCATTGCATTTATTTTTTTAACATACCAGATGTATCCCACCAAGGCAGGGTGACTTATAAAGAAAAATTAAAGTTTTCCTTTTTAAATTTAGTAATTTATACAGGAGTAGGGGTTACTAGCCCTTCCTCCCTTCAGTGCAATATAAAGTATATTAAAAAAGTGGCAGTACCACAGACTCGTGCTGTTTCATGAATTATGTGATTCTAAAGAAATACGTGCACTATATGACTTGCTGTTTATACTTAAGTGATGAAATAAGCAGTTCGTGGAAAATAATGAATTAATACATCGGTTCAAATACTGTTTATGTATTTTGTAGCTTAATTTAAATTGTGATGGAACTGTAGAGTTAATATGTCCATTGGTCAAATTTTAAAAAAAAATCTCTACTGGTCATGGACCGGGCCACAGGGGTCTTGACCCCTGAAATACCCTGCAAGTGGGCATTTGTAGACTTTTTCTGAGAGTTTTTCTGACTCATGTTGTGAAAATTAACAACAGCTAAGATAAACTGGCTTTATAGGAAAATCTAAAAAAAAAAAAAAATAAGATATTCCAGCTTAGACAGCCTTTGGTTGCAGGGAAGTATATGTATACTGTACGTATATAAAAAAATATCATATAGCCTATGGAGCAGCAGAGGATCTGAATTACACCCATATTTTATATCTTAGTGACTGGCTTAATTCACTGCAAGATGTAACGTGCACAGTTTTAACCCTTTGACTGTTTCAGTCGTATATATACGTCTTACGAGCCACCGTGTTTGACGTATATATATACTAATAAATTCTAGCAGCTTCAAATCAAGCAGGAGAAAGCTGGTAGGCCCACATGTGAGAAAATGGGCTGTGTGGTCAGTGTGCACCATATAAAAAAAATCCTGGAGCACTCAGTGCATAATGAGAAAAAAAACTGACCGTTTTTTTTAATTAAAATGCCGACTTTGTGGTCTATTTTTGTATAATATTTATGATTGTACTCTTGTTTTCTTGGTCTCATTTGATAGAATGGAAAACATATTATAGAAATAGAAGTGATTTTGATAGGTTTTACTATGAAAAGAACCTGGAAATGAAGTTTGAAGTAGGGGAAATATTTGATTTTTGCCGATGTTCAAAAGTAAACAGTTGATGTCATTGTCCAGTAAATGTCCAACTAGCCATTCTAATATGCAGTCATGAATGGGTTGACATTATTTGTACAATTATTACAGTATTGCAGTAGTCTGCATAACAGTAAATCTTCTATTTTTTGTTTGAATAAAAATTCAAAATAGAAAGCAAAGAGTAATATCAGAGGGGCCTGGAGATGCGACTGATGAACAAAGAAAATGTTATTTTAGAGCCAGGAATGTCTGCATTGTTCATTCTGGATCTTATTTTGAAATTGTCATATTTTGTAATTTTCGTGAAATTGGCCAAATTGCAAATTTCTGACCACGTTATTGTGTAGTTGAAATCGGTAAATGGGCAGTTTCTTGTGCACAATCGATAGAAAAAACGGAGTTCTAAAGAAATAGCTGTGAGTTTGGTTGACTGGAGCAATGGAATTAGCCGAAAATAGGGCTCAAAATGGGCGAAATCACCGATTTGTAAATATCGCCGAGGTCGCTAACTTTGCGAGAGTGTAATTCCATCAGTTTTCCATCAAATTTCATTCTTTTGGTGTCATTACAATCAGGAAAAAATTCTCTATCCTTTCATAAGATTTTTTTTTTTTTTTTGAAAATTTGCGACACCACAAGACACCTTAGGATTAGGGGTTGCGACAGTCAAAGGGTTAAACACACTGGCCATCTCCCACCGAGGCAAAGTGACATAAAAAGAAAAACTTTGGTTTATCTTTTTATATTTAGTAATTTATACAGAAGGGGTCACTAGCTCTTTGCTCCTGGCATTTTAATCGTCTCTTACAACTACATATTGTAAATATTCACTCCTAATAACCTCAAGGTTGCTGTTTTTACTGACATGTATAAACTAATTTCTCTGCATATGGAATTTGTGTTAAGTCAAGATTGGTTAGGTTAATGTCAGTTAACCAAATTTTATTAATACAGTGGACCCCCGCATAACGATCACCTCTGAATGCGACCAATTATGTAAGTGTATTTATGTAAGTGCGTTTGTACGTGTATGTTTGGGGGTCTGAAATGGACTAATCTACTTCACAATATTCCTTATGGGAATAAATTCGGTCAGTACTGGCACCTGAACATACTTACGGAGTGAAAAAATATCGTTAACCGGGGGTCCACTGTATATATATATATATTTATTCTCCATGGGGAAGTGGAATAGAATTCTTCCTCCGTAAGCCATGCGTGTTGTAAGAGGGGACTAAAATGCCGGGAGCAAGGGGCTAGTAACCTCTTCTCCTGTATATATTACTAAATGTAAAAGGAGAAACTTTCGTTTTTCCTTTTGGGCCACCCCGCCTCAGTGGGATACGGCCGATGTGTTGAAAGAAAGAAAGAATATATTTACATTTATTTTATTTATTTATTTTTACAGTATTGATCATTTATCGTGCAGGATTCAGCCTCGGATTAACCAAAAATGTGATAGATTCTTTATGATCTACAGTATATTAATAATTTTATAACTCTTTGATCAGATTATTTTTCCTTTCCAGTATCTATCTCTTCTTGAGTATGCTTTCCTCCCTCCACCTCCTGATCCTTCATCATGTTTGAATTAACACTGCAAATACCTTCTTGCTTTTTATGTATTTAACATTTATTAACACACTAACCAGTTTTCCTTGTTTATGGTTTTTTCATATAATGACTTTGACTTGTATAGATAACTTGTTCAACTTAGCCTGTTTCCTTTGCATATTCCCATGCAGTGTAACTAATAGAATACGTTGTGTAAACCTCTCGGTGCAAGCTGATGATGTTATTGGAGTGTGTGGTACAACAGTGCTTTAGCTCAAAGAAAATATATAGCTCTATAATGTGTTGCTTCAGTTTAGGTTTAAGTTGAGCATTAGTAAAATGCCTTTAGTTTTAATCTCATTAATTAAGCTGTTGCTGTAAGCATTAGTGATTAAGATTAATTGCTATTTATTGTGCATTAATGGATAGATTAGGTCTCTTGATAGTTGCATGCTGAATAACCAGCATATAACAATATAATCATTAATGCAAGCTGTCTAGCTATAGTACAGTATCCATCCTTTGTGTTTTGCTATATAATGCACCTCCAAATGCCCCCCAAAGTGATGGTCTAACCTCCTACCCCCTCCCCTCGCCTACACCAGCAACGCCACCACCTGCACCTCTCGACACTTCCTCGGTCCACAATGAACTTCTGATGGAGGCCCATTCAACCCCAGATGACCTTGTATCTAGGTAAGTGTTACTTTCTGAATTAAATTTTGCCTTTGAGAGAAAGTGTAAAGGTGTAACATTTGTCTGAGTGTCCATTAGGGGATTGCTTTGCTTTGATTTTTTTTTTTTTTTGTGGTATGTCTTATTGCACACTATGATCTTACCCAAATGCGGAAAAGTAATTATGTGTCTTACTGCATACTCTGATTTTACCAAAAGGCTGGAAGGTGACTGTGTGTCTTTCTGCACAATAGCTGGTGATTGTGTTTGCACACTTACTGTTAAGTACCTGGTAATATGAAAGTTTCCTTTAACCACTACAAACATATATGAAATTGTTATAACATATGTTGGTGACGGTCGGTAGACCAACATATATATTGTGTGAACACATTTTATAGGAAACATCCCTATTTTTACCTACATGTACTGTATTTATTAAATTATACATGAAATGGAGAACACGTAAAATTACAGTAACTGTTTGTGGTGAATCATGTACATACAGAATAAATGCGTAGCCCTTGATTAGGAATCTTATGCTGTATTAGTGCATTTTGTATTGAAGTTGGTAGAATTACTGACAGTATGTTAGGTAAAAGGACACAAGTGCACATTTTTTTTTTTAATATAATAAAGGAGTTCAAAGTGTAGAACAGTAGAAGTGTAAAATGTTAGCACATGCCTTTTATATGAATAAAGTTCCTGTGCTTCAGGGCAAGGTGAGACCTGTTGCCAAAAATCTGTCACTGTCTTTTTTCTTTTTTTTTTTTTTTAATGCTTTAACCCCTTCAGGGTCCAAGGCCCAAATCTGAAGTGGTGCCCCAGTGTCCAAGAATTTTAAAAAAAAAAATTTGTTATTTTTTCTTGTGAAATGGTAGAGAATCTTTTTGTGAAGGTAATAAGACAAAAAGTACGAAATTTGATGGAAAATTGACGAAATTATGCTCTCGCGAATTTTGATGTGTCAGCAATATTTACAAATCGGCGATTTTGCCGACTTTGACTCCCATTTTAGGCCAATTACATTATTCCAGTCAACCAAATTCTTAGCTATTTCACTAGTATTACTTCTATTCTATCGATTGAGCACAAGAAATCGCCAAGTCAACTGTTTAAACTACAAATTAAAGTGATCAGAAATTGTTAATTTGGCCAGTTTTACACGAAGTTCAAAATATTCCAATTTCAAAATAGGGTCCAGAATAAACAATGTAGGTATTCCTGGAACTAAAGTAACATTTCCTCTGTTCATTAGTTACGTTTTGAGGCTTTGCAAATAAATTCCGTTTTGATTTTTTATTCACATAATGAATTTTTATTCACACCAAAAAATAGAAGATTTACTGTTATGCAATATTGTAATAATTGTATAAATATCATCACCATATTTGTGAGTGCATATTAGACCCACCAGCTGGCATGTATTAGACGTGTGAGGTCGTTTGTTTACTCTTGAATATCGGCAAAAATTTAACATTTCTGCTACTTTGAGCTCGGTTTCAAGCCATTTCCAGTGCTAAAACCAATCAAAATCATCTTTATTTCTGTAATATGTCTTCCATTCTATCAAATGAGACCAAGAAATCGCAAATAGAACTATAAAAAACACGAAAAAACACTGCAAAGTCGCTGTTTTAATCGAAAAATCATGATTTCAGTTTTTTCTCTCATTATACACAGCGTGCTGCAGGATCTGTTTTATGTGGTGCGCACACACCACATAGATGTATTCTCTCATATCTAGGCCCAAATGTACCACTCACAGTTTATCAGAGTGAGCTGAGCTCATGACGTAGATCTACGGGTTGGACCCTGAACGTAAAGCCGTAGATCTACGGGACGGACCCTCAAAGGGTTAATCTTTCTGAAAGGTTAACTGATAGTTTTTCAGTGTTATTTACTTTATTATATGTACATAGTTTTAATATTTAGACATATTTTATTGGTATTTCAGGGTATGGTAAAGTTTACTCGATGAAATAGGGTTTGTGGTACCATAAAGTATAACTGCATTTACAAAAGCTGTATGTCTTTGCACTGTTTGGATCATGTTTTGTATCACGCAGATAATAATTCTTGTGTTTGTTTGTGTGTTTGTTTTTTTTGTGCAGAAAATGGAGCCTCCAGTACACTACTGTATGGTGATCCTTTGTGATTTTATATAGGATGGAAGCCTACCATCACATAATTTGATGTGTCATTGATAGACTTCCACCTTACGTAAAACAAAATAGACCATATATACTTTTCGTAGATATGGAATGCATTACTTTGCATTGCTGTGTGTATGTTTCCCAACACACCCACTTTTCCTCTCCAGTATAGAGACCAGATTTGCACCTCAATCCAAAGGAGGCTCCATCAATGATCTTCTTTCAATAAACCAGTCGTATCCCACCGAGGCAGGGTGGCCCAAAAAGGAAAACGAAAGTTTCTCTTTTTAAATTTAGTGATTTATACAGGAGAAGGGGTTACTAGCCTCTTCCTCCTGGTATTTTAGTTGCCTCTTACGACACACATGGCTTACGGAGGAAGAATTGTGTTCTGTTTCCCCGTGGACATAGGAGGAAATAAGCAAGAACAAGAACTAGTAAGAAAATAGAAGAAAACCCTGAGGGACATGTTTATATATATGCTTGTACATGTATGTGTAGTGTGACCTAAGTGTAAGTAGAAGTAGCAAGATGTACATGTTTATGAGACAGAGAAAAGACACCAGTAAACCTACCATCATGTAAAACAATTACAGGCTTTTGTTTTACACTCACTTGGCAGGATGGTAGTATCTCCCTAGTAGTACCTCCATTATATCTTTCATTAAACTTAATACTGTATTATCACTTTTAGTAATAATTATCAACTTTGTTGCTGCTTTTGCTCAATAGCGAACTAAAAGGAATGGGGCAAAGGGGGATGGGGGGCCATTCTTTGCTCAGTGATAGCCAGGTGGATAAAAGTTATCTGAAGAGTTGAAAAAACCAATAGAAGTTTTCAAACCAAATGAAAAATTTCGCTGAAGAAAAAACTGAGAATGCAATTACAACAAAATAATGTTTATTTCCAATGTAAAATGTATTTTTCTTTATTTTGGTAGTATAAAATTTAAAAATAACCCATGTGGGTTATTATTGAGCATATGTCTTATTCATATACTTGTCTGTTTGTATACCATGAACATATTCGGTTACCTCCTCTGTTGGGAAATATTTTACAAGTTTCGTGGAAGAGGAACGAGCATTGAAGTTAGTAGCAAGTTGATGACACAGCATATGCAGTGAAACCTTTAGTACAATGTTTTTCACATGACTGATGAAACATCAAAATCAAGTAAGGCGTGCAGCAGTTAATCTTTATTCTGAAACGTTTCAACTGTTGTGTAGGCTAAACATTTTGGAATAAAGATACCTAACTGTTGCAAGTATGTCTTATCAACTTGTCGGTGTTGTATACCATTTTCATACGTCATAATAAACAGTTTTTCTCACTGGGGGGTGAGTGTTTTGGAGATTAATAGCAAGATAAGTTTTATTTAGGAAAATCTAACATAGTTTTACTAGCAGCACACATTTGTATAATGGCTGTGATGAGATATTTAGGTTTTGTGTATGTATAAGTATTTAGTACATTGTGTAGATTTAACCTAGAACGACTCGGTTAAGACAGTGGTATGTTTCCATTATAGAATTAGTAAAAATGGAGATTTTTTTTTTTTCACAAGTCGGTCGTCTCCCACGGAGGTAGGGTGACCCAAAAAAGAAAGAAAATACTTTCATCATCATTCAACACTTTCACCTCACTCACACATAATCACTGTTTTTGCAGAGGTGCCCAGAACACAACAGTTTGGAAGCATATACGTATAAAGATACACAACATATCCCTCCAAACTGCTAATATCCCGAAACCCCTCCCTTAGAGTGCAGGCATTGTACTTCCCAATTCCAGGACGCAAGTCCGGCTATATAAAAATAACCGGTTTCCCTGAATCCCTTCACTAAATATTACTCTGCCCTCAGGGTAACATTTAGTGAAGGGATTCAGGGAAACCGGTTATATAATATGTATAATATATAATAATAATAATATCTTTATTTCTACAAGTACATGCACAAGGTATACAGGCCTATTTGACATCAGTGACAAACTGCTATGTAGAAAGCTGCTCGTTACGCATAGCATTTCGGGCAGATTAGGTCAGTTTTGTCCCAAGACGTGACCCACACCAGTTGACTAACACCCAGGTATCCACTTTACTGATAGGCGAATAGGGACAGCAGGTGTCTTATGGAAACACGTCCCAATGTTTCCAGCCGTACCGGGGATCAACTCCGGGACCTCAATGTGTGAGCTCAGTGTGCTCTCAATCGAGCTACAGTATAAAATATCGACTTGATGGAAAAATAGATGCAAATGCAGTATAATGCAATCCTTTATTGACTGTTTCGTCACAAACAGATCTGTTTGTGACTTGATAAAACCCACTGTGTGGGTGAAATGTGGTTAATAAAGGATTGCATTATACTGCATTTGTTTGTTTTTCCACCACAGAATTAGTAGGAGAGAGGTGAAGAGAAGTAAGCATTGGCGAGGTGAATGAGGTCTCTCAGTGGCCTACCCTTGAGAAATGCCAGACTCTGTTCACACAATCTACATTAGTGACGTGGATAGGGAAGAGGCTTGGCAGGCCAGGCTGTAGTGTGGGAGAGAGACAGAAAGGGGTGTGGGGAGTGAGGAAAGGAGGGTTGAAAGAGGATGTGGAAAGGCAGTTTTTTTTTGTGATATATTTTGCAAAATTAGATACATCAACGGTGTGCTGCTACACTTGTGTATGATAGTTACATGGTAAGAACAAAGGTAACTATGAGTGAGACACGTGCAACAGTTGGGTATCTTCATTGTTGAAACGTTTCGCCTACACAGTAGGGTTCTGCTGCCTCTGTATATGACTGAAGAAGCCTACTGTGTAGGCAAAACGTTTCAACAATAAATATATACCCAACTGTTGCACCTGTGTCTTA